CCAGCCAGGGCATGGGCAGCAGAAAAGGCAAGGACTTGGGGAAGGATGGCACATGTAGTTCCTTCCTCGGGCAGGGAAGGGAGAGAGAGAGAGGTCAGAGGTGGGGGAGGCAAAGGAGGAGAGGGGAGAGCAGGAGACCAGGTATAGGGAAATGGTGGGAGGTCATTGGGCAGGACTGACAGCTGCAGGCGCAGCCTGATGACCAGCCAGGGCATGGGCAGCAGAAAAGGCAAGGACTTGTGGAAGGATAGCGCATGTAGCTCTTTCCTGGGACGGGAGAGAGGAGGTCAGAGGGAGGACAAATTAAAGGTTGAAGATGATAGAAGTACATAGCAGATAGCCACTCCTCAGATCCCATTCTCCCAAAACCTCCAAAACACCAAAACCTCGACTTTTAAGAAAACATCCTGCGCCATCTGCTAAGGCCTGGCTAAAGGCCCTTTTTATAAACCTCAATTTCCCTCCTGCGCCATCTACTATGGTAGTTTGGGCCAGTTTTTTGGGATCCAGGGCAGCGAGCGACGGCCGGGTTATAGCCCTATGTTCAACTTCCAGGCTGGCCGAATAGATGGCGCAACCCCCAAAAATGACATCATGTCTGCGCCATCTGGTTTGACATTAGAGTATATAATAGACTCTGGATAAATAAACCCACCCAAACATGAATTGGAAATCCTCTTTAGGCCTTGGGGGGGTTAGACGTTATTAGTCAAGAGTCTACATTACCCAAAATGAGAATCAGTTTGAGTGAGACGGTGCCTCCAAAGGCACCTGACAACTGATGGTCTTCAGCCCCAAATCTTCATAGAACGTTTGGAGGATTTCACACCTTCCCTTGTCCGTGAAACGGGTGAAAAAGAAACACGGGCGGTCTGTTTGGACCGGTTTTGCTGATGCCAGATGTGGGTGGAGGAGACATTTGCACAGTGGGAATTTGTAGAAAACAGGTGGGATTGTTTGCCCTATCTGCATGGGTTGCTCAACGGTGGTGCTTGGTCCGCCCATGTTTCATAGGGTCGCCAACTCTGGTAGCTGTAGCATCAGTTCACACCTGAAATCCCTGTCGACGATCCTGGGAGTTCGAAGTGAACCAAGATTGACTTTAAAGCTGATCCAAACAGTCTGACAGGCGTTTAAATACCCAAGAACTCGCCAGCCTGCCCAGCCATTAGCCGAAAAAGCGCCAATCCGAACAAACCTCCGTGAGATCTCTTGAGTCTATTTATGCTACTAGTAGCAAGAAGCTACTAGGGTGGAGGCCATCGCCACTAGGTTGGAGGCCATCGCTACTAGGGCGGACGCCATCGCTACTAGGTTGGAGGCCATCGCGACTAGGGTGGAGGCCATCGCTACTAGGTTGGAGGCCATCGCTACTAGGGCGGACGCCATCGCTACTAGGGTGGAGGCTATTACTACTAGTAACAAGAAGCTACGTTTTATCTCTTGAGTCTTTTGATGTCTTTTTCCCAACCAGCCCCCTTCTTCTCCCCCCACCCCCATACACACACTTAGGATAGGGTGTACTGAACTGAAAGCGGTGCCACACGCCGGCCTAGGTTACCAATTCCTAAGAGTACAGGTAAGGAAACCTGAAAAGGAAGTGGAGGTCCATCAAGTTCAGCGTGGCCATCAACTCTAAAGGAACCGTCGAACGACTGAGCGACAGAGTGACGTCGTCCGAAACCAAAGCCCTATGCGTGACTGCCGAGAGCAAACCGGTGCAAAGGCTGGATTTCTTGTTTTAGGTACAAGCAGGGCCCGGAGATTGGAGTAATTATCACAGCAGGTACAGGAAACTGGCCAAGTTTCCCTTCCCACTCTCGCCCACAGCTTCATTGCGTGTGGTAGGACGAGAGTGCCACAAGCCCCTGCTGCACAAGGAAAACAACTGTGAAGCTAAAACAATCCGAAAGGATCCCTATGATTCCAAGGGTTACACACACACGCCTCCCCGAGGGGAGGCAAGATTTCGTCCCCAAGTAGTGGTAAGGCCAGGAACCTCTAGTTGCGTCAAAGAAACACCTAACACCTAGTAGGAAGGCCAGGAGCCCCTAGTAGTATCCCAAGCTAAGGTGCCGACAAGAGGGAGGGGTAGGGAGAGACGAGAAAAGGGAAAGAAAAGAAAGGAAGGTGTTCCCAGCTACGACGCATGCGTCCAAGGACACACCAAAGGAAGAGAGGAGAAGGTTCCCAGCTATGACAAAAGCATCCAGGGACACCCAAGGAGGGAGGAAGGAGAGAGAGAAGGAAAGAAAGAAAGAGAGAGGGAGAGAAAGGGAGATGAGAGAAAAAGAAAAAAGGCAGGTGTTCCCAGCTACGAACAAGCGTCCAGGGACACACCAAAGAAAGAGAGGGGTGATCCTGAGTGTTGCATTCAGGAAAACCCCAGGAAGCAAAGAAAGAAAGGGGGAAGGGAAGGGGGAGAAAGGGGCTAAGGTCCCAACAGGTTCCAATGAACCTCAAAAATACTTTGACCGCTGTGGTCACCTTGTGCCCTGCCGAAGCGGCTGGCTGCTTAGACCGCTGCGGTCACGTTAAAGGCATGAGCCAGCTTGGAATTCCTAAAATGAGAAAATCATCGTACGTACGGCCTAGGCCACCTACGCTCGCTGCGAGCTGCTCTGTATCCGGGCAGGGGATACGTTGGACATACACCCGTTCGACGGGTCCACGGGAGGCACTCTGCGGGCTCATCCCGGGTTGGCACGAGGCCAAACACACTTAGGATAGGGTGTACTGAACTGAAAGCGGTGCCACACGCCGGCCTAGGTTACCAATTCCTAAGAGTACAGGTAAGGAAACCTGAAAAGGAAGTGGAGGTCCATCAAGTTCAGCGTGGCCATCAACTCTAAAGGAGCCGTCGAACGACCGAGCGACAGAGTGACGTCGTCCGAAACCAAAGCCCTATGCGTGACTGCCGAGAGCAAACCGGTGCAAAGGCTGGATTTCTTGTTTTAGGTACAAGCAGGGCCCGGAGATTGGAGTAATTATCACAGCAGGTACAGGAAACTGGCCAAGTTTCCCTTCCCACTCTCGCCCACAGCTTCATTGCGTGTGGTAGGACGAGAGTGCCACACGCCCCTGCTGCACAAGGAAAACAACTGTGAAGCTAAAACAATCCGAAAGGATCCCTATGATTCCAAGGGTTACACACACACACACATCCACCCACACCCACATGCGCTGTGCCGCGCACCTCCTCCAGGACGTTTCGCTGCAAGGGTCGCCAGGTCCTCACAGTGACCTCCCGATGCCCGCAGGCGTTGGGCAAGGTCATGGAGCCGTAGGCCAAGGTCCTCGGCTTTTGTGGTTTTTCCAGTTTCAAGGTCCACCCCCCTCACCCCCCACAGCAAGAAATTCTGTCAGAGGTGCCCGTCCTGTGGCCAGGCTGGGTTTCGGTTCGTTCCGTTGAGGTACCGATTGATGTGGCCGGGTGGTTGGGTTTCGGTCAACGCGGTTCTGTTTCGGTCCAACGTGGGTTCCGGGTTCGGAACCTGGTGGGCGGAAAACCACGACCCAAAAACAAGTGGCTCCAAAAGTGACGAGTGGTCAAGCCGGTCCGGTGGTTGTGGTCTGGACAGAGCCAAACAGTGTCAGGGTGGGGCGGGGGGGGGCACAAGTTGCATCCATTGGATGTGATACTCTTATTTTGGCAAACGATTGAAAAAGGAATGGGATCACATGGGCATAGTGTCCATGGTGGGTGACTTGTTTATCTATTGAAAAAACGGCTTGGGTTTGGTAATCAGTGAGAACGTGACACATATCTGACTCAAAAACAGCCCTCACGTTTGGTTTGAGTTAGGGAGGTTAGGAAGGGCACCTGTCCTGGCCAACAGGTCTGAGGCAAATAGAGGAGCTGATTCGTTGCCCCAAAAAATGGACGAGAATGATTCGGTACAAAGCCACCGGCTTTTCATGCCTTGTACCCTGACCTGATTTTGGGGGGCCTTGCTACCAAGCTGCTCCACACGCCCGGCGGCGTCCAACTTGAAGACTTGCAAATGCAACTGAGGCCAGCTGGCCACCGAGTCGGCGATGTAGTGGAAGTCGATGGGATGATTGAAGACATACCTAGGGGGGTCGGAGGCATCATGGGTACCCACAGCATGTTTCTTCACATGGCCAAAGTCAAGCACTCTCTCTCACTCTCTCTTTTTCTGATTTCAGAGGATCCCTGGGATGGCGTGGCGATCGGGGAGCGCTAAATTGGCCACAGCCAGGCCAACGCCTCTTGTGGTCCCTATCTCGGTGTTTGGACCGGTTCAGACCCTTCAAAAGGATCAAAAAGGGCGACTCAACCGATGGTGCCCCAATCCATCTTGCATCCGTTCACACTTGGAAAGGGTCCATTCTACCAGGTCTGAGCTCCTTCGACATCGACTTCGACCTGAGCTCCTTCGTGCCGCCCAGCTTCACTCCATGAGCGTCCGCATAGCAAGTCTGCGTCTGCCCCACGAAGCCTTCCTTCCGAGCAATCGGGAGCCAATCCATCCCCGCCTCGCAGGAGTAGTCGACGAAGAGCCCGTCGTCCACCTCGAGTCCTCGACCGGAAGGAGAAGTGTTCTTCGCGTCTTTAAGCGGATGAGAGTGGCCAAAGCAACAGTGGAATCCAAATGGATACATCAGTAAGACATGGTAAAACAGGGTATGCGACCCTCACCTCAAATATGATCACCGAATATCGCAAAAACATGCCCCACCAAAAAAAGCACGTAGGTACCAGGCAGTCAGAGCTTCGCCCACAAAAGTGCTCTTCCCTTTTTTGAGGGGGTGGGAAACGGGGGGAAGGAACTGTATGGGCCATATGCCGGTGAAAATCTGCTCCTCTCGCCACTCACCCCTCACCCCTCACCCTCACTCGTGGCTCGTGCAACTCGTCCTGGAAAGTCCCAGCCACACCTCGGGCGAGCGAACCTTCCACGTCGGGGGGTTCGACCGGGGTTCGAGCGAACCTTGGGAATCCCGGGAGCCGGTGCGGTTCCAACTGGACAAGCAGATTGAGTAGTGTTCCGTAGACCAACTCCAGTGTTGAGGTCAAACTCACCTGTTCGTGTGAATTGGTTTGTGAAATCCATTTTCGCTGACCTACCACCTCCAAGGACTTCGGAGGCTCCAAACACCTATTGATACAGTCCTTTGAATCACCTGTGGACCCTCGACAGCTCATCTCAAGCTATGCCTATGCATGCCATGCCTTCCCGTCGTCGGTGCATCGCTTAGTACGGGACAAATGGGAAGAAATTCCTGGACCTACCAGGACCTACCTGGACCTTCCTGGACCTACCAACCTAGAAGCCTTTTGACCTGCTTTTTGATTTTAAAAAATACCATGTTCCTCCCAAACAGGGGTCACTCAGGTTCTAGAAGGGAGATGTTTTAAATTTACACAGCTCCATTCTGCAGGATGCACTGCCCATCCCCGACCAATCCTCATCCTGATCCCCTCTCAACCACTCCTGTTTCTCAGGGAAACATCTGAAACCAACATGACGCGACAAATCACACATGATTGAACCATCGACAGTTGCAAAACAATGCTCAGGACTCGCTCGGGACAGTGGCAAACCTCCATCTCCCATCCATCTCCGGTCCCCGTCCAGCCCAGGCCAGCCACTCCAACTCGCCGATGAAGTGCAACTCGAATTCATCCCCCGGTGCACAGGGCGGTGCGCGCGGCTTGGGCGCAGGCACCGGTGCGGGGGGAGCAGGCGCTGAAGGCGCCGGGAGCGCTGTCATGGGAGGAGCATCCCAACAGCGGAATCAGCTCAATAAGTTTGAAACAGGTATCTCGTGGGTGTTCAAGTGAATTTGAGATTTTGCCTGTGATTTGAGATTCGCAAGCGATCTCAAGATCCTAGTTGGAAGATGTGGGGTCAGGAATCTTGAGTCATGTTTCCTGCTTGCAAGTGGGCACTTCATGTACCTCACAATATGTGAACGATCGCGTTTCTCAACCGTGTTGACATCTCGCTCTCTCGCCCCTGACCACTCACAACTCACTGTCGATCGCTTCGAGCTGATGCGCCGAAAAAGGATCCGCCCAGGGGCGCTTTTCAGCGCTGGTGGCATCCGAGTCCCTCCGTCGCGACGCGACGGCGCGGGCGTCCGAGACGGCGCGGCCTTTTCGAGACATCGACGTCGTTTTGTTCACGTCCGGCGTGGCGTGGCGTGGGATTCATCTCTTTTTCTTCATCAACTGACCCCAATTGGATTGAAAGGCCGAAAATCATGCGAAGGTGTAATTGATGTTGCTTGATCAAAATCTACAATCACCAACCAATTGTCTACATTATCATTACCCTTCACCATTCGATGGCGCTGGGGAGCGTGGTCTAAGTGTTTTTGAGGTGTTTGGAACACCCTGCAGGAGCCAATTGTTGTGCGCAGGTTGATAGGAAATTCTCCGTAGGTTTGATACTGGAAGAAAATAACGGTTTAACAAAAAACTCCCTGAAACACTAGGGAAGTTCAGCAGGAGTACAGTGCAGTAACATAGTTCAAGTGTTTCACGGAGCGTGGAAGACCAAATTCGCTGCGTTTCATCGCACCGATATATCTGGAAGATCTCCGGCCTCTATGACTGACCTTCCAGGGATTGCTCTGACTGACCTTCCAGGGGTTGCTCAAAATGTAATTGTCGAAAGCAGCCGCAACCAGGCCGCGAACCCGGAGCTGAGCATGGCATTAGTGTCACCAAGTTCCTGCGACACACAGGGTAAAGAGTCGCCACAACATCCGAAGCAGCGAGAGCCGCGGTTTTTCCACGGGCATGTATTTTGTCTTCTGGCGCGTCGCGAACACTTCTCGGCGGAAAACACGTGAATTTGGAACAGTCATTCTAGGTCATTCTTGCATGGTCACAGGGAAGCTATCCCCGTGATCCCTAAAGGTCATTGACGAAACGGAGGCCACCGGGAACTTCCAAGCCTTGTTAAAAGGCACACTGCATGCTTCAACATGGAGTTCTTTTTCATTTAGGGCCACCTTCTGGAGAGTCCAAACAGATTTCTGGGCGTGTAGAATCACAGTCATGCAAAAGGTCCAAATCCTTCTGCTGGATTTCAATACTTCAAGCGGCTGGCACAGAGACCCTGATCGTGGCATGGTTTGCATGATGAACAGGCATACCATATGCTGAAGTGTTTCCATTCATTAGGCGAATGCTAAGTGTCAGTGGAGTATCCCTTCTACATAGGTGGCACATCTTCTGAGCATGGCACAAACCTCCTGGATAAAAGTCAGGTTGGTGATGGAGGGCAGCTGCTGGTGTCCTCACGCGCATGGCGCGCGCTCTGCGCGCTCAGCAGCTATTCCTCACTTGCCGGGCAAGCCTGCCTGGCGCCAGATCATTCGATGGCTGTGGACCATGGCACCAGGAGACCGGCTGAGCACGACCTACCTGGCGGACTAGTGGAACTCGCTACAAATGGTGGATTGGTCGGGCAGCCGATCCTTTTCGAAACCCGTTTCGCGGTTTCTCGGGCCAAGGCTCTGAGCTCAGGAGGGTTCTGGCATGGTGCCCATGCACACTTGATTGACAGCCTCTGGTCTTGTTGCAAAGCAGTGTCACATGTGTGTGGGCTTGTTGCCATTGGTCAAAAATCTACTATCACCAACCCTTGCGCCCGGCCGCACCCTCAACCCTCCACGCTCCACGCCGCTAAACGCACGCCTGGCCTTGGACGATGCCCCGCCACTCCCATTGGCCGTGGAAGACGAAGCGCCCGAGGACGCGGCAGACGCCGCGGCGGCCGCTTGCGTGGCCATCCTCGAGTTCCCGGCGACGATTCAGTTGCACTGGGGATAGAACTTCAACATAGGTCTCTTGAAAGGAAAAAAGCACTGCTGATTCTGCACGGATATGTTGCTTTCAAACCACTGGGGTGTGGTGGCCACATCACACATGACATGTGTTCAGAGCCTGCGATTCACCACAGTGTACGTTGGAAGTGTGGCTCCAAACACCCGGAGACAGGTCGGGTGGGCAGTGAAAGCAGAAGGAATTGATGTTTCCAAAGGAAGGTTGCTGAGTGATTGCCTGTCTTTTGAAAAGACACCTGGAATATGTTTGGCGCTATGGCGCCAGCAGTTGCCAGAAAACAATTCCATTGATATATGCTGTATATACAGTAGAGGCTCGCTTCAAGTCATTTTGTCTCCGGGGCCAAGGAACTATTTGAGCCTCTGGGATTGCTGATCTGAACTGGTGCAAAGCTTTTTATTCGCTTCTGTTTATCAGTAAGGCTACGAGTTCATCACAGGAATAGTCTAGGATAAGTTCTGGTGTTCCAATGGATAAAGCATGACAAAGCATAACAAAGCAACATAATTCAATGAGGGATGATCACACAAAAGGATTGAATGCCGGTAGCACAACAAGACACCAATAGTGTACGGCCTTCAAAGGAACATCTAGTGCCAGGTGCCACCCCAAAACCAAAAAAATAAAGAAAACGTCATCCTGAAGCTCGCCTATAGGAACATCTAGCCTGGGGAACCTCGAGCCTTGGGCCTGGGACGTCATCCTAACCAAAAAGGAACATCTAGCCTGCAAAAAAAAAGAAAACGTCTTCCACCCAACGTCGAAAAAAATCTGTTGGACGCACCCCGGCAGAACAATTCCGACTTCCATGAGGGCTGTAGGTCAGCTGGGCTCCCGGCTGACCAGCCGTATGGGAGGCCTTCACCAAGGTCCTCAGGTGGCAAGAAGCAGGTCCTGGAGGGTGGGGGAGGTCATGCAACCGGTGTGGAAAGTATTTTGGTGAAAGGGAAGGAGCAACAATGTGAGCAGCTTGTTCAAGATCCCTATCGAAACTATCAGCTTAAATGTATGGTTGGACAATCATCACCTGAACCCTATGCAAATCGGCACCCATGCAGCACCCTCTGTCTTTCTACGTCTGTCTATCACCTGAACAAGTTCCTTCACCACATCACCGTGCACACCGTGCACACCGTGCTGTCCAAGATGCTGCATGGCTTCCTGCGGTGTCAGACCTGCGGTCAACGGAGGCGAGAAGAAACGGAAGGCGTTTGCCAAGCGTTTCCAAGGGTTTATGCATCCAAGGTTTGAGAATCCAAGGTTAGCGAAGGTGTAATTCTAGATCCAAGGCCAGTCTCAAATCCCAAATCCACTTCCAAATGTTTGCCAGCATGTTCGAGTAAACGTGTCTTGTGTTTTGTGCTTTGCTGGTTGGAGTCCCTCTGAGCCCATCGACTCGACCCTTCGCGGTAAGGCGGGCGGAGGTGGAAAGGACTCAGCGAACCTCTACCAGCTGCTTCATGCTGCTTCCAAGGGGTTATCAATGGACAACCCTACACTGCTTTATAGGTCACCAGACAGGACACCCATTGGAAGCGCCAGGTCGGATGTTCCTGCATAGGTCGGGTCAGTTCGACGGGTCAAGTCAGAGGGACCCCACGTCCACGTCACACATCCATACCACCATAAGCTATATGCAAAACAAAAATCCAACAGCATGAACTAGTTTGTTCTTGACCAATTCGGACACGAAAAGAACTGGTATGTCGGATTCGTAGGGATATTCAAAAGAAAAAAGGAATCCACCCTACGAATCTGAACGGGCCCTCCATGGCAGGGGTCGGACCCGACCTCTTCGCAGGGGTCCGGACCCGAACCAACCCTTATGCCTTATGTGTTGCGAACTGGGCCCGTATTCCTAGGCCAACACCATATTTAACAAATCTTGCAACCACGAAATCCTCGAGATTGGAAGAAAGCGCGCTTCACGTTCGCCTCGGATTCCGAAAAGCCCTTCATTTATTCCGACCGAAAACGGCTGGAAAAAAGGGCACATGGATAGTGACCCCTTTCGAACTTTAAGTAATTTAGACAAAAATAACAGTAATAATAACAATCAACATAATATATATAGTTTATCTAAATTTAAAAGATATGCTTCAATGGTTTCTGGTCACAAAGGTATGTTTTAAATACAGCCTGCGTCGATGTGTATGACGTACACAATTTTGTTAAATACACACTACGTCGATGTGTATGACGCACACATGTTTTTTAAATACAGCCTGCGTCGATGTGTATGACGCCCACATTTTTTTAAATACACACTACGTCGATATGTATGACACAAATGTTTTTTAGACAATACAGCTTACGTCGGTGATGGCGACGGAGATGTCGGTCGATTTGACGTATTAGAGATTGAAATGGTGGCGGTCGACACGTCGACACGTGTCCTGGAGTTTCCTTGGAAAAACAGAAGCCGTTTGAATTCGGACACGCTGAGACACTCATGCAAAGCCGCAATGCTGCAAGACTTGCGAAAAAAAAAAAAAAAAACAACGGGAATCTTAGAGAAAAAACAAAGTCTACAACTGACCTCAGCAATATTGCACGTAGCTGTAGTCCGTTTGTTTGCATATGGCGACGGGGCGACAATGGTCAGCTCGACTTGCGCGCGCTCGCAAGTGGGCCCGGGCACATGTCCGTAAGGGGCAGGATATTGGCAGCAAAGCACGGCCAGGAGTCACTTAGGGATCTCAATAGATTTTGCTCCAATCTGCTAATGACTATCACTACCAATTTGTGCATGCTGCGTGACTGATACATTGTGAAACTCTCAATATCGTTCAAAGAACATTATATAGCTGGGGCAGCCCAATTGCAGGCTGGTGGTCCGCACATATGAGACTGACCACGCGATGCGCTGGAAGGAGATAGCAGTGGGGAAAGTGAAAGGCACGGAAGGGGGATGTCATTGAAATCAAGACTGTCAAATGATGCTGCAGCAACT